AATCTCTGGACTGTGAGAACCTGGCTATTTTAAAAAGCTGCCTGGGTTTTGTGTGCACTGAAGTGGGTAGGAAAGTTGCACAAGTATTAACACTTCACAAATCACARATTATCTTGTAGTCAGTGACAGTGATAAATTCACCAGATTATCAAGAAGTGTAAATAGAATAATTAGACCTATTTTAACAACACTTAGATCTTTCTTTTGCCCTCACAGAGAGCTTTTAAATGYGGTGTCTCCGCAAGGACATCACAGGAACGATGTACAAATGCTTTCTTTCCTGCCTGGGAAGATGAGGAGTATAAAGATGGTTTCACAGACACATGTGATTTTGTAATGTTAAAAAAATACTGTATGAGATTTTTTAAATCCAGTTTTAATGAAAAAGCACTGATTGATTAGAAGAGCTGGTGAATTAGGCTAAAAAATGCTGTGACTGAAAATGCCATTTAGATCAGTGGTGTAAAATAGATGATTTTGTATGTAACAGAAAAGAATATAAGAATATTCTTTTATATATGTTATATATAATTTTATACATATACTTATAAAAGAATATATATAATATATAATATATATATTATATATAAAATATATATCTCATGTATATATATATTCTTTTATAAAAGATTATAAAAGAATATAAAAGAATATAAGAATATAATATAAAAGTAGGACAGAGAGTTTGCAGTGTGTCTGAATAAGACAGCTAAGTCAAAATCTTTTCAGAGTACAATCAAAGAGAAAAAGTAACACACTGAATGCATACATTGTAGTCAGTTAAAGCTGTTTCTCTATGTTTGTTTAGTCTGGTTTGAAGCAGTGATGAATTAGACAGCTCCTGTGGTCTCTGTGCATATACTTAAAAATATTCTTAATTGTGCATATGCTTAAACTCTCATTAAAATCCTACTGGCCATGTAAGGTTTCTTTAAGAAAGAAACCACTTTCAGTGGACTCTGTAGGATATTTAGAAGCAGGATGAATATAAGCAGAATGGTTATCTATATTAATTTACCTCCCGAAAGAGCAAGAGTTGCCACATATTCTTCCAGTAAAGCGTAACTGTGAAACTTGCATTTCCCATTTCTCTGTCAAGGCTTACTGGTTTGCATTTTCATGAGGAAGTTACGTTTTCAGAAAGACTAGGAGTAAAAGAACATTGAAACACGAGTCACAATAAAGATATATTTGAATGTCATTGAATCTTTTGAGAGGTAGTGGTAAAACTTCAGGATAGCACCACTTGTCAAAATATTTCATTAGAAGAATTGAAGGTTAACTGCCTGTGCTCTTATTTTCTGTCCACTTAGTGCCAAGTTATGATTCTTGTAAAATTTCATGAATAGGGCTAGTGTTAACCATTCATTCATCCTGGGAGGAGTGAGGACGTAGTGAGCTTATAAAAACAAGAGGAAAGATGCAATAACTCTATCCCTTTTTTATTACAGTAACACACTTTTTAATGGATCTTTGAACATTTCAATGTCAAACATGATTGCATTTCAGGTTTAATTAATAATTAGACAGCATTATAATGACATGAGATTTTGGAATTTTAATATTTAATTATATTAATTTTATGTAAGCTAGTTGGTGAGGCCCTTAAAAAATCAGATGTGTATTTCACTTATGTGATTAAGATATGTGACCTATTTCACCTAATGGATGAAACTGGTGACCAAGTCATTACGTTAATTAAGCTGATACTGCAGAAGCAATTTTAGAAAATAGCGTTTTTAATAACAGCTATAAATTTTTGCAAGTACTGGATGTTTGAAATGACGGTTCTTCCAAATTCAATTCAAAATTCAGTTGGAAAATACCACCAGTTATCCTGCTATTTGTGGTTGTTAATTTTTGCAGTCTTTATGAAGAATGTTATCTGCAGTAGTAATTTATGTGAATGAGATTCTTCTCAGCATGAAGAGACTCTCCTAAGAAATTTCTTGAGATTTTATGTGAAGGAATTTAAAAGTTTGCATATGTGGAGGCGGAATGTGTATAAATCCATCTTAGTGATTCGCTGATGATTACCTTGGAATTCACAAGAAATAGAAAAGAAAATGATGGATCTTTTCAGTGCAATCTAGTGGCTCAATTGTGTTTCTTGCTAGTGAAAAGGACAGTGTCTAGTCAGAGTCTTGATCCGGGTCAGCTTAGGTCAAGAAAGGTCTTGGTGTTGCATTTGAAATGATGAGGCTGTAAAGAAAACAAGTTTGTGAAGCAGAGGGCTTGATGCTAAAATTCCTGTGCTGCATTTGCATGTGGATGGAGGCAGTAGAAGTTACTGCACTTCAAATATTCTTGCTGTGGTTATTGAATATCTATCTATATTCTTCTACAGGACGGATAAGAGGTTTTGTATTAAACTTTTATGTTCAAGTTTTGGTAAGACAATTTCCTGTGGTTTGGAGAAGACTAAAAATAGCATTTTATAGGGCTTTATAGAGCACTTTGAAAGGGCTTTTATGATAAAGCAGAAATGTTGTCATTTACTTTGAGAATAACACTTTTTTTTTTTTTTTAATGGGAAATGATAGCATAAATACACGCTGTATGTTAAAGGACTGCTTCTTAGGTTCTCAGGTTCCCTGGTGATAAATACCTAGTAGCTACTGCATGTCTCATGACCACTCTTTCTTGGAGCAATCATACATATGCACTATGCTATAAGCTTGTCACATTTTGTGAACCATTACACTGTTTTTTGTGTGTGTGTTTTTAATAGATTATTTAGTGTGTGACAGCACTGCTTGGGTATTTTTAAGTGTTAAAATAAGATGTGTCAGAAGGTGCATACTATGAGAAAGGAGCATCACTACCATTCCTTATTCCAAAACACTCATAGTCGCCTCTCCCCCAACTTTTTTTTCCCCTCTGCTCCCCCTCCAGTTCAGAACAACTTTTAGCCCTTAAAAACTTGTAAATAGGAAATCTGACCAAGAAGTTTTTGAATGCCAAATGGCACCAGTCTAGATATAAAGAAGTACTTTATAAGAAGTGACAATAAAACCTGTGTCGGACCTTCTATTTCATGTGTCATAGACTTTTGAGTATCATAATGTCTGCTGGTCCTGATTAAGATTGTGTGTTTAGGGTGAGAGTTGTTAAACTGTGCAGAGAACACAGCAACTCACTCATGATGTGAGCTTCACAGCTTGCCATCAAAAGATATTGCCTGCATTGGAAATACTTTTCTAATTGATCAGTTGTTGGGAAAATTAATGATTATCCTTAACTCTATTATCATTGTTTGACTACTATATTATTTAGTATAATGAAATTAGAGTAAGACTGCTATGATAGTCTTTTCTCTTGCTAGAGCACTTGAAAACTCAGATAAGAATTATTCATTTATCTTTATTATTTTATTTATTTAATTTTTTTTATACTCATCGTCCCTGCCGTGTTTGATGCTCTTTTGAAAAATGGATTCTGTTTTACAAACTAGGGCAGGAAAGTATTCCTACAGGGCAGTCTCCTCCAATTGGAAAATAATGAAATACGATGAAATACGAAGCTTTCCCATYGTCTCTTACATAAGGCCAAATTAAGAATCTTGATTATGTGGTGAAACAATCAATTGCCCAGCAACAAATTTGCATTGATTGCAGYGTGCTGCTTTTATGAAAAGTGGTCAAATGCACCTCAGCTGACTGGAGTTTGCTTSCAGTCTTGCACAAGGCTGTTTCTTTACATTTGGATTCCCTTCCTTACCCTTTTTGTTTAGTAATCAAGCCTCTTCCCATGTTTTTCCTTGTAGTCAGGCTAATTACATTATAACTTTCTTTTTCCTCTGAGATGGAAATATAAGAACTATATGCTCATTCTAGTTGTTGATTAATAGATTTAATTGTTTAATTGTTCTCTAATAGATTTATAATAGTGTCGTGGAATGTTATAAAAATATCTACATTGGTTTAAAGGTATGAAAAAGAGGCTACTCAAAGAAAACAGTAGTACAAGTTTGAAGACTATCATTAAAGAATCCGAAAATATATTTTCCTATTATTTTCTCTGATTTCTTCCACATTCTAAGAAAAATTATATCCTAGGATGACACACACTGACTGAAATTTGTTTTGTTCTTACAAGTATGTTAGAGAAATTTAAAAGTAGAATTTAAAGATCTTTTATGTCTCTAAAACATATGAGCATTATTTCACATTCTGTGTCATCATGATGGAAATAGAAAAGACAATAAGTTCAATGGTATATTTTTGATGTTGAGTAGAAAATACCAAAGCCTTTTCATTTTGCTCATCACTCACAATGTGAATGTGTGGCAATAGCATAGGCCATTTTTCACGCTGTTTCCTGTGAGTGTTTTAAAATTCCTGTTTGACACAGAAATTGTAAAGCTCAAGTAGTTTCGCAAGTATTGCAGAATGTGCTGTATTTTTTGCTTCCGTATTTTGCCTCCACATCAAAATCTGTTCCTTGAGTAGTTTCAAGTTTTGCCTTCCCTTGGCAGAGGCGTTGTGATATCTGACTTCTGCAATAAATTCTTGGTGTGAGTTAGGAAGAGGGAAGGAATATGTTTAGAGATGTTTTATTAAACAGGTAACTTGGTAGCAACTTGTTAGGAGTGTTAGTGTGGATAGGAGCTCTCTCCTCCTCTTAAATGGGACTGTTCTGTTGATCTGAACAAGAGACAAAATGAGGTAATATATGCCTAGCTCAGTACTTCCAGCTAAGAAAAATCCTTTAACGTTTTCTTGCCTTTTGATCCTTTAACAGCAAGTTGTTATACAGTTATATGGAAAATAAGCATACAGAGAATACATTAATGGGAATCAGAAGCAGTCTGAAATGACGAAATGATTATTAAATCTTGTTTTCTTAAACTATGAAAATGAGCTCTGATTCTTTTGCTACTTTTTAATGTGATATAATCACTTTTTTTTTTTTTTCTTTTCATTCAGTGGCTAACAGAACAGAGCTTACCTAGCTGCTTAGAGGTTTGAATAATACACTTTGTGAAATGGTTTTAAAAATGCAGCTACTGTAGTCTTTGAGAAGATTTGGTGTCTGGGAAAATACTGGCAACATGCTGCACATTCAAACTATTTTTTGCTACTCGCTAAATAAATTGTCAAAAATCGCTGATTTGAAAGGGGGTAAAAACCTGCTTAAAGTAATCACAGATATAACTGTTATCTGTTAAGGGCTAAGAACTTAATGCCCCATTTCTCAAATGAGTTTTTACAATAACGAGATAGCTGTATCACACTCTTAAGTGAAAAGCTCATGAACTTGCCTGCATGGTTATTTCCAACCTCGACTCTTCTACTAACAAGCTCCTAAAGTTGTTATTGCTAATAAAAGTGGAAAATGGACCTGATAAAAATGTTTAGTCTGCACGGCTGTGTTTTATCATATCACAAAAGAACAATGTTTTGTTGCATCGTGGTCAAAATAGAAGTGACCTTGCTTGTTCATGAGTGCTCAGAACCTAGAGATAAGGGCTGCAAAATAATAGAGTACAATAGCAAGAGGGTGGTGTAATTATTTGTGGCTTGTCAAGTGAAGCCCTCTCAGCCCCCAGTGATTCAAATCTGGGAACTCTGCACAATTCCGTACACTCCCCGTAGCYGGCATCAGAGAGATCTCGCCCGGCTCCTGCGACAGTACTGAAATTGCATCAGTTTGTCATGCACTGAGCATGCCAGCTCCGCACAGTATCATTTGCTTGCAAATGGGCCTGGCCCCAAAGCCCTGAGACACATTCTTTGGTATCTGACTCTTGGCCTGTGATTTGTCATGTCTCTAGCGCTATCAGCGTAAAGTAATTTTAATAGATTCTGATGGTTGGCTTGTGGAAGGTAAAGAATGCACTGCAGATTGTGTCAGGTAGCTTTCTGTGGCATGTAATGTGGTAGAGGCCCTCATGATGGTGATAGCCAAACAAAGAGTATGGGGAAGTAAGAACCCTATTTGAGTGATATTTAACACCCCCTACTCAGCACCCTGCTGCGTTAGCAATAGTCTTTGCAAACTGGAAAGTTCACGAGCTTCCCTGTTTAACAAAGCGTCATTATTCATGCTTAGTAGTTGTTTACAGGTGCGATGTATGAAAGCAGATCAGTGGCATTGTTTCCCTTACTAAAAAGAGAAACTCTTCAGTAAGAGATATATAAAATATGAAGTAACTTCATGAGTCTAAGCATGTCACTTTTATGAGTTGGTATTTAAGTCTCTGCTAGATATTTGGTAATTAGTATTCTGTACCTAAAATTCCAGTATTTTTAACAGTTGTGCACCTCAATACTGTAAAAGAGAGAAAAGCTAGTACAACTATAAATATTCTCTAGAATATAGATTTATGAAGAGTTACTTCATTGGATTTGATTAGATAGTTATTTGGGAATGGCTGAATAAGCATATGGCATATTTTTTATTCTCTTTTGACGCCATAGAGATTATTTTGCCATTGACAACTCTGATCTTTGCTTCCCCCCCCCCCCCATCTGACTTCCTTAATTGATTACTGCTTTGGTGTTGGAGCCTGCAGGATAGCTCCCCTGAATTCTGCTGACACCAATCAATTAGCAAAGGTGCTAATGTTAGTGATTTCATCTAGGCAACATTCAAAATCATGTCAGTAATCTGTTCTTAAAAACTGCCAGATCACTGAATGTTGTAATTTTGAACRTGTTAGTTTGGGTTAACAAGGATTTGTCCAGAGAGTGGAAAGAAGAGCAGGTTTTTACTCAATTGTTCTACATTGGTGTGGTGAACATGCTTTTGCTTAAATATTTAACTGACTGCTTTAAAAATGTTCTTATTAATATTTATGGTATCTCTGAGGGATTTATAAAAATGCTTGAGCAGAAAACCATTTCTTTTTACCTTTATCTGGGGAATTTCAGACAGCAGTGTAACTCTGAGCACCCCGCTAGCAAGTCAGCGCGGGTTCTGTCAGTTTCTTTCCCTCTTCATCTTCCATATTTGCTTAGCAGTTTTCCTTAGCTAAGCAAAATATTAAAATGAGCTTGCATATTTTCTTTCTCATTCTGCTCTAAATATATTTTTATGCTTTGCGTTGTATAAATCCTCCAGGAAACTCTGTATTGGGATCAGACTTCGCTGTTCAATATCAAATTAACAAAAAAAAAMTTATAGGTGAAGATAGATGAACTCTTTTAAATATGTTTTAATTTTATTTTTGGTCACTTTTTTGGTGCATTTTTGTAACTTGCATTATTAAAACCATGTTAAATTTTGCCATTTGATGGCTGATGTCTTATACTTGCATCAATAAAATAGCTCTGCTGTATTTTCTAGTTAAAATATGCTGTCATTTATATGTACAAAGTAGTTGATTCTCATGCAGATGCTGTTTACAGTTATAAATTTTGCTTTTGTTATAAACAGGCTAAATGGCTAACAACTAACTGAGTACTAAACTCAAGTAATTACTTGAATCAATGCCGTCTTGTAATATTCAGATAGAGGCGGAATGTAGGTGTGTACATGCACACATGTGGGCAACAGGGCACATCTGGAAAGCCATGCATACATGAGCAATGCAAGGATTTATAGGCTAGCATTGCAGAAAGGTCTTTTTGAGGTCTCGTATGAGTCAATGTTTTAATGACCTGAATGATGGAATAGAGTGTGCTTATTTAAATTTGCCGTCAATGCCAAGGTGAAAGTGACTGTGAGTGTGCTAGAGAACAAGAGCAGAATTAAAAATGAGCTTGGTGAGTTGGAAATACTATTTTTAAAAAAGGAAAACRTTGTGGAATTCAGTAGGAGCTTACACTTGGTGTTAACACTAAGCAAAAATAATCAGCTGCACAGAAAAAGATCCAACTGATTAGGTAGCAATACTTCCTGAAAGGACCTGGGATTTATTATGCGTCACAAACTGACCCATGGGTCACATGCTGACCATGGGTCACTAACATCATGCTGTTGCGAAAAAGACAAATCTACATCTAGAATGCAAAGGGCAAGAGAGAAGAAGCATTCCTTACCAGTGCCAACTGGAGCATAACCTAAGCTAGAGGGCCATGTCCAATTTTAGATATTTCAGGAAGAAAAAAAATCCACAGGCTAGTTGGAAAGATTGTCTACAGGTTACAGCAGAGTAGGTGAAAATATAACACTGCTTTCTAGGTGCATTACGATCTTTTAGAAGTGCAGAACAAACTGGGGTTTGTTTAAATCTAAAAAGGAAAATGCTGAACAGGAATTTTGTAAAAATCCGAAGTAAAGGCTGTTGCAGAGAAGAAGCAATCAATCTGTAGATTAGAAGTGATGTACAGTTATGCTTGCAATTTCTTGTCCTGTCTACCAGAAGAAACAAGAGATATGCTAAATGTTCTTAAGGATTGGTTTTGAATCATAAAGATACTGCAGCATGGAAATAACTTTCAGGCATTGGATGCAAAATGTTTGTCTTTGCAGGGCTTAGCTGTTTGTCTCCAGTGTTTCTGTCCAAGGTTCATCTTGCCTGGAGACAGTAGATTGAGCTAGAAAATTCCCTACAATAGACCTGAGCAGGTTATTGGGTCAATCAGCACTGGCAAAGCAAAAGGACTGCAGCATATGCAGAAAATGTGTAAGCAAAGGCTGTGAAAGTCCAATTAGCCAGGCCACAACAAAGTCTTTCTAAACCTCTTTTTTTGTGTTATACTCCTTGCTGTCAGTAGTTCACCATTACATTGATGTCCTAGTTCTTTCTGAGTTGATGGTTCTTGTGTAATTTGTAGTCTCAACATTGATCATCCTTTCTTTAGTTTGCCCAGGACCTTTTGCAAGCTCCTTCTCTTCCCGAGATCTTCTTTCCTGTCCCAAGGAATTTTAAGTTTTGAGGTAAGAGCAGTCCTTGGAGCAGACTGATGTAGTATCAGATTACTTTTTCTTGTTAAACACCGCTAATACTGTTCAGTAAAGCGTTTGTATTCAGCATATTCCTTGTCTACACTCTTGCAAAGAGCAACAGAGAAGAATTTGTCTATGTTTCCGTAACTATACATACACATAGTGACAATGCCCATAGAGRGGTTCAACACACTGGGGAAAACATTCTATCTGTAAGGCAAACTAGAAATTAAGAAAATCCAGTGCCACAATCACCTACCTACACCTCTTCCTGTTTGTAACTGCTGCTGTAAAATGTGTGCTCCCTAAACATTTAGATTACTAAATGGCTGGCTTAGGGAGGTGCCTGGATTGGTGGGTTTTACCTGTGAAGTGGAAAGCAATTCAGGGACAGGAGTGACTATGGACACTGCCTGATCAGTGCCTCAGTTTTCCAACCCTAGTCCAGCTCTGCATCCTCATCTGTCTCCTATAAAAGGAGACAAGTAGGATAATAGGGAAGGAAAAAGCCATGTGTCAGCCTTTCTGCTAGTGTTAGCATCTTAGAAGGACAGATGTATCCTGCTTGAATGCTGGCACGTCTGAAGAGGCATGAAGATAGACTATAAGGACTTGGGAAGCTGGAAGGCATTTCAAGTTTACAAATTACAGAAATCACAGAACGTAGACCACAGAGGCTGTGTCAGTTATTGCATACTGCATCAGGAGCTGATCAGAGAACTGTATTTTGAAGAAGGGAAGAGCATTTCAGAAGGATTGGTAGGGCAGCAGCTGGTGCCATGTTACTACCTTTGTCTGCAAAATTTACTGTAGATACCATCAAATCTTGCTTTAGATAAGGGATTATCAAGTACATGTTTTTATTTTTTAACCTGTTTCTTACATATTCAGTATTGATTCAGCTTGTCAAAAGTCTGCTTTTTACCTCATGCACTGTGGTAGCTCTCAGTTTCTAGTTTGTGGATAGTGAAATACAATTCCATTGACATATTTGCAACAGATTTCAATAAGATATTGGGGACCAATATATCAGTCCCTCTGGAAGGCAAGTTAGTAGGTAGATAACTTTACTTAGTAGCTGACAGCCTCTAACCGTTGGCCTTTTGGAGGCACCAATTCTGGATCAAGCCAAGACTTAACTAGAATGATTAAATATAAATATTTTCCTTAAGTTTAATCTCAGTACAGCCTTACTTGGAGAGGTTTATCAGGAGACTGAAGCCTTAGCTACTGTTACTGACTTGCACCTACTCCATGCAAGTGGCTTTTGTCTGAGAGTTCATTTTGCACAGAGACTCTCCAGCC